CGAACCAAGTGAAGATGTGTTTACCTGGAGAGTTCCTACAGAGTAGAGATAGATAGCGACATCTGGTGCTTCGTTGAGGCACGATTCCCACATGCTCGGCCATCGACAGGTGAGGACCTCAGAACCTGTTCGGAGGTCCACTGGAATACATCTGTAAAACACAAAATAAAAAAACAAAAAAAAAAAAAAAAAAAAAAGAAAGAAACATTTGAAAAATAGTTTGCAAAATGATCTCAAGTTGCGATGTCATCAGACCAAAGCTTCATGTGGTCTGCCGAAGTGGAAGTTGCTTCAGGTCCTTCATGAGATCCTACTTTGGCTACATCGTATCGATCATGTGGCTTAATCTTGATCACTTTGTAAGGTCCTAAGAATTTAGGTCTTAGCTTGAGACCGCCTCCTAACTGGGTTCTTTCAATGGCTACTAGGTCGTTGACTTTGTAGAGTGGAGCGGTTTCTACGACGTCGATTGTATTGTCGTCGGTTCTCCTCCTGCAGTTTTTAAGATATTCGCTTTAGCCTCTTCACGAATAGACTCTTTCTCCTGGATGGTGGAGTTCAGGAATTCTTCATCGAGAATTTCTTTAATTCTTTGGTCTGCCTTATTTCTCATTTTCACGCCTGTCATCAGCTCGAAAGGAGTGAATTTCGTTGATCTACTGACGGTGCTGTTGATGATTCTTTGGACGTCAGGCACAAATTTGAACCATTTGGCAGGATCATCTACTGACAGTTTTGCAAGCACTGGGATAAGGGTTCCATGAATTCTTTCGATCTGGCCGTTGGCTCTTGGAACGCCTGTTGTTGTGATTTGTATGTATGAGCTGAATTCCTTCATCTTTACAGTATTCCTCAAAGTCCTTTGAAGTGAAAGCAGATCCCTTGTCAGAGATAATTCTTGAAGGATTTCCGAAGACAGCTTGTTTGGATTTTTAGTTTCTGTACAGCTTCTGCCGTTGATGTTGTCTTGACTGGGTAAAACCAGACAAATTTTGTAAAAGCATCTACCACTGTAAATATATGTCGGTATCTCTTATCTGTAGATGTCAGGGGTCCTACAAAATCTATGTGATATGTGCTTAACGGAATATTGTCCTTTGGGATTGGGTTCAATAGACCTTCTGCTTTGCCTCGCTTTTTATTACAGAGGATGCACTCGACACAGTTCATTATAACGTGCTCTATTTTCTTTGTAGCATTCGAAATATGAAAATCTCTTTTCAACAGATCTTCTGTCTTTTGTACAGCAAAGTGTCCTTTGTTATGTATGCCACGGATGATCTCGAATTCCATCGCTTCCGGCACAACGATGAGTTCTCGACCTCTCTCCTGCAGATACAACACATTATCTTTTAGCAGATAGTCATCTCTAAGTCCTTTCTCGACCAGAGTTTTCAATAATTGAAGACGCTCATCAACTGTTGCGATGTTGCGATCTTAGTAGTGATTTCACTTTGCGAACGAGTGACCATGCACACAGCATGCCTACTTAATGCGTCGACATGTCTCATCTGTTGATTGGGTCTGTGGATAACTTCATATTCGAACTCTTCGAGTAGCAGTGCCCATCTAGCTATCTTTGGTGTCAGATCTTTTTTCTGCATTGTCTTCTGAAATGCATCGCAGTCTGTGACTATTTTGATTTTTGTGCCTAAGAGTAACTTCGAAATTTTTTCAAGGCTTCGACGATCGCTAGCATTTCGAGTTCATAACTTGACATTTTTTCTTGTTGAGGTGATGTTTTCTTGCTCATGTAATGGATTGGATGCAGCTGTCCATCCTCTGAGCGTTGAAGCAAAACTGCACCGAAACCATGACTACTAGCATCCGTGTGTAATTCCAAAGGTTTTCCCTGCTGAAAGATATTAAGTACAGGACTTTTGCTCAAAAGTTCTTTAAGGTGGTCAAATGCCTGCTTCTGTCTCCGGCCCAAATTCAAATTCTACACGTTTGCGAAGCATATCACTCAATGGTTTGGCTATTTTCGAATAACCAGGTACAAATTTTCTAAAATTGTCTGCGAGACCTAGGAAGCTTTGCAATTGCTTAAGGAGTATCAGAAACCCCTATACCGACAATGTTAAATTGGCCATTTTCGATGTACCTTTTCTCAAAATCTGCTGTAGATACAAGCTTGAAATTTTTTCTGTAATTAAAGTATACCTATTTGATTATACTGAAATGAGCTTTTGAAACATTTTGAATTTTAGAGTAAATTACAGGATATTTTGTTAGGCATAGTAAAATTTAGCACTTTTATCACACAAAAAAATTAATTTTTTTTCTAAGTTTATTACAAAAAGCTCATTTCAGTAAATATTAGGAAACCTAATAAATAAGCCACAAAAAGTTTAGATACCTGTGAGCAGTAGTTCCTGAGAAAAAGTACATCGAGTATAAAAAAATCACGTTTGGAGAAAAAAACGCGTTTTTATGTAAAAATCCTCATTGAACAAAGCAGTAGATGACAAATTAAAACTAGATTTTTTTACAGTTCTAATTTTCATAGAGATTAAAGAATGGTATTTTTAGAAAGATAAAAGTGTAGAGAATTTGAAAATGCAAAAATCCAAAATTACAATTTTTTGAAGATTTTGGGGTTCCAACTCCCCTTAATGTTGTTAGGTTGAGGAAAATTTTTAACTGCAAGGGTCTTATTTGGAGATGGACGAATTGTACCTTCTTCAATTAAATAAACGAGAAATTCAATTTTTCTTTTAAGGAATTGACATTTTTTAAAATTAATTTCTAGTTCATATTCTGAAGCTACTTTTAAAACTCGTTTAAATTTTTCTAATCCCTCTTTTTCATCACGGGAAGGTATGATAAAATCATCCATGTAAATTACAACTGTATTATCCCTTATTAATTCCCTGAATACATTATAGATAAATCTTAAAAATACACTAGGACTTGTGGTCAAACCAAACGGTGCTCTTAAAAATTCAAGTAAACCTGCATGACAAATGAATGCTAAATATTTGGTACATCTTTCATCGACTGGAACGTGGAAAAAAAACATTTTTCAAATCCAAAGTTGAAAAAACTTTCGCTTCCCCAAATGATCAACTACTTCCTCTACCTGGGTCATAGGAAAAGAATCTTTCACTACTTTTTTATTTAACTGTCTTGAAGTCTACGCATAATCTATGTGTTTTATCACGTTTCTTACATAACAGAATTGGAGATGCGTATTCGGAACGAGATGGTTTAATTATCCCCTTTTGCAAACACTCGTCTATCTGTTTATCAACAATTTTTTGCTCAGGAAACGGTAATCTCCGAGACTGTTGCGATACTGGAATATCATCTTTTAACACATATCATTCATTTTAAATTCGTGTCTTTAGTTTTATTTGGTTTATAATTATGAATCAATAACGATAAATCCTTACGAATGTTCACATCAGTAACATGCAAGAAATCCACATCACATTCGTCAATCACATTTGCAAAATTTAATAAAAAACACTCTTGTAATGATGATTCACTTTTAAAATCATTTTCGGTATCAGGATTAGATGTTTCATTTTTTTCTTCCCGACTTACTTTTAGAAGTTGAGAATAAATGTTTGGTGTTAAAATTAAAAGAACAGATAATTTATTTACGGCTGCAACAATGATTTCTAACCTTGGTGAATTGCTATTTAAAGATAATCCTACTCTAGCGATATCTGCCTCTTTTTTTTTTTTTTTTTTGTCAAAACATGAGCTAAGTATTATTTTACCGTCCAGCGGTGTCTTTATTTGAATGAATGATGAATTTATGACCGGAACTTGAGCGCCTGAATCGATAAGTGCTTTTATTTTTTTATTTTCTACGAAAATATCAGCATATTGCAACTCGTGAATAAAACTGACGTTATTAACACTTGTTTTGTTTTTTCTTTCTGTTTCCTTATGCGATTCGCTTTGTTTACGTTTTACGCAATCCCTAGCGAAATGAAAATTTTTCACCCTTCCCCCGCAGACGTAACATGATCTCTCTGGCGTCGACGAAATGACATCCGGTTTGCTTTTAGGTTTGCTACGACGGAATGAGTCATTCTTAATACTTTGGTTGGTTTGAACACTTGGTACTTTCGATTCATTAGACTGAACTTTAGGGTTATGTATTTCAGACAATGATTTTCCTCGGGATGAAAAATATAAATCACATTCTCGCCCTAACTGTGTTGGATTAAACCATGTTCTCCCCTCGCGAACACCTATGTATTCTATTCTTTCGTTTTGAAATCCAAAGTTTCATACAATTTATCTGCAACAATTAAATCAAATAACTTTTTTTAAATCCTTTTGTGTCTCCCTAACCTGACAGTAGTATTCAAATGCTGCGGTCAATCGCGATGCAAATTGAACATGCGACTCGTTTGCTGCGCGTTGAGCATGTTTAAAGGTGTTCAGAATCTCTCTTGGTGTCGGCTGAAATTCAGCTAAAAAAACTCTTTTAGTTAAATTCGACAATTCTTCTTCAGTTGCATACTTTAAAACATTATTGGGCTTTAACCCCTAACTTAGTCTTTGGTGGCAAAAGCTTTTTCCAATGAAATGAAAAACAAATGCAATGCCTCTGGCCGCTCAGGAACAGAGATTGTAAGCGTTTTAACACTTTTCAGTAAATTTTTCAACACTAGTCTGTGCGTTTCTTCTATCACCCGATAATGATTGTGATTTTAAAATTTTCTAGCTCAATTTGCTTCTCAATTTGGCTAATTTAAGACGTTCGATTTCTAACAGATAGTGTTCATTACTTGTCTTAGGCGTCCGATCCTCGACGATCGATTTGACGACGCCACGAACAAATTCAATGTTCGTTTTGAAGACATCAGAATTTTCTATAATTTTTTCTAATGTCAGCTTTTTTAGCATTTTCTGGAACATTCTCTCCAATTCTTTCGGCAATTAATTTTAAATCACTCTTGTTTGAATTATTTAAGAAACTCATTTTAAAACGAAACACAAGTATCACTATCTTAAAGAAGGAAAAGTTTTCACAGTACCTTTTTTGAAGTTCGCCGGCTTGGAGCCCCCATAGTTGTGAGGGTGACGTCTTATCATCAAACAGAGATCACACTCACGATTCAAAGTATCAGGTTTTTATTCCTGGTTCATAGAAGAAAAGATAAACGGAATGAGTATGTACAAATGGATTAAATATGTTTAGGAGAGTAATCACAACACTGGTTCCAGTATGGAGATGTAAAAGTCACAGCTGACCACTTACGTGCGGTCACTTTAGATAAGTTCCAAGTCCGATCGCCTACGCGGGACCAGTAAGCGTCTAGTTGTAGCTCCTTCGCGAGCGTTCTGTTAGACCGCTTCTGTCGGACTTCTCGAACCAAGTGAAGATATGTTTACCTGGAGAGTTCCTACAGAGTAGAGATAGATAGCGACATCTGGTGCTTCGTTGAGGTACGATTCCCACATATATATATAGGTATATATTTTACTACTTTTCCAACTATTTTATTTCCTATTAAATTTAATTTCATTTCCAGCAGTAAAATGTTTGTTAGTTTTCTTTCCGATTGCATTTCGTATCTCATATATGCTCGGTGTAATAACTTAGCAAAATTACAAAAATCTGATGTGTACACCACATGACTTCCTTGTACGGAATATTAAATTATACGCATTTTTTCTTGCATTTCATTTAAACTTATTGGATTGAATTAAATATACTTCGCCGACAGCACATAAACCACAATAGAATAAATGCATTCTTTAAAATTCACTCTAGTATTTGTTTACCATAGCGACACTCTGGCGCTAGATTCACTTAACAGTATTATATTTCGTTCATATTATAACTCAGAATGCACAAAATTTATATCGTTTAAAGAATTATCTAATCGTTGCCACATGTTCTGTTCAAATACTATAATAAAGCTAAAACGATGTATAAAAAAAATTAAGCAAACAAAACAAAAAAGGAACAGTTTTTCACAGGCGATTGAGTACTTCTCATTCAATTAATTCAGTTCTCACTTCGCGACAAGGCAAAAATGCACAAAAAGTCAAAATATCTGTATTAAAAATTACGAAGTAAATCTTAAACACTTATTTCCTCGAAAAAATTCCAGAAAGGATTAAGTATGATTTAATTCGCAATAATAAATGAAGGCGTTATTTTTGTTGTTGCGAAGCTAAGTTTCTCTAGGTTGGCAACAAATCCACTATTCTGCAGTTTCAAATGTAAACAAGCAATGGCCGCCATCAAAAACATTATTAGGATTAGCGGCACTTAAACAACTTTAAAATTGTTGATAATTCTAAAAATATTGTATACAGATTTACTAAAGGCATAAAAACCTTAACCGGAAGATAAGAACAACATAATTCAATCATTTTTAAAGCAAAAAATATACAATTTACAAACATATAAGAGTAAAGAAACTGAGATCACTGAGCCGGGTAACAGAGTGGATATATATATAAATATATTTGTATACGTTTGATACGGCCGATTGCAACCAAAATACGAGGTGCACATCTACAGGTTATAGCAGTCCTATATACAAAATTGCAATGTTCTGAGGCTACTCGTTTTTGAGTTATGCGAAATACATACCTTCGTACAGACGCCACGAAAAATTCTCTTCAGAATTCATTTTAAAGCAGTTTTATAATTTTTTGGAGGAAAAGTGTCTTTTATTCTGTCCTTATGTACAGATATCACGCAAAAACATCGTTAAATTTCATTCGATAGCGGTCAAGATGGATATTTTCGTTGAAATATGCTGCATGAAACTTTTCGTGATTACAATACTTCCTTTTTTACTTCGTACAAGGAAGTAACTAGCTTAAAAAAAGATGAATATTACCTGAAATATTGTACGTTTCATTTCGGAAAGTTACGTGAGTATCTTCATTTTTAATCCTTTAACGTTTCTTGCCCTGCATAATAAATAAATTTTCTAGCCTAAATGTTAAAATTCTCAGTTTTGATGGAATTTATTTGTGATTATCTGCGAGGTCATCGTGTTTTCAAAACCCATTTTGGGAAGTTCTTTATTGATAAATTTTGATGTAAAAGTTTCCTTAAAATTTATATATTTTTTCCTTTACAAACATGTACAGGAATACCCACATTCAGTTTTCCAGTACCACAACTTAAATTTCGAAAGTAAATTTTTTAATAATTTCATGTTCCTTGAAATTTATGTATTTGCGATATCGCTATGCTTTCGCAAACGTTTTGAGAGTGTGCTGTCGGTACTCACTTAGACACTTAGAAAATATTTTCTCTTTACTATTGGTACATGCCATTTTCCGATATTTTTTTTCTATTTATTTTGAGCTTAAAAATATATTTGTAGATCATTTATGTTGATATCTGTGATAGATGTTTTGAGTATTCGGGAAAATAAAACTTCCTTTTATTCACGCGAATGAAATTGGTGTATTATTATTAGTCGAAGTATTAGTCGAATACAAAAAAATACCAGATTTGTTCTGATTATTCAACACACATATGAACTTCGACATTCGAAATTTTTCACGTAGTTGTAATTTTTTCTGTCAATAATTAGAAGACGAATGGAATAAATACAGGATATGAAGATACGAAATAAACATTTTGAAATAAAGAAAGTTCTTCAGCTCTAAGGAAGTAATATTATTCTGTAGGATGTGTAAATACTTTTCAAATTCGAAAATGACATAGTATATAAGATATAAATTTACAAGTAGAGAAATAGTGAAGGCCAACTATTGTTCAAAATCTGGACGGTAATTACACAGAACTAATTATACTAAAATTCGCCATAAAAGGCGATTCTAAAAAAGGTCAAACGCGTCAACGCGTGTCAATTGTTTTTAATCTCCTACTACAAAAGGAATGCTGCTGGTCACTCCTTATCTAAAACGCATAGTTTTCCATGTCACAGACTAAATTTGCATATTCCCAACTTGTAAACCCTATAATTTTCCTTTGTAATCTCTTCTATTTCCTTTTGTTAAAAAGGTTGTCCATTATATGGTTATTTCATACCGAACTTACAATATCCCCTATAATTGTTTTGAACAGTGAATGTGACTGCAAGATGTTACTCCGCAGTAGAAAGAAACTGAACCTAAAACTCCACTACAGATTCTATGGAGAAAATGTTTTTCCAAGCCTAAGAGTAGCACTTCAACTACTCCTTACTATTTCATTATCATATGAACGTTCGTTCAGTAAGTTAAAATAAAATTTGGTCATATTTACAATCAATGAAGGGACAAGATCCCCTAAGTCATCTAGCATTTTTAAATGTGGAAAGAGAAAAATTTGAAATGATAGACTTTGATAAAGTAATTCATAAATTTGGCTCGTCTAAGGCAGGAAAAATATATACATAGTAATTAATTATATTAATGTATTATAAATTAAATTATTATTAATAAATATATCTACTTATCTATAATATATATTAAACTTTTTATTGTTCAAAAATTGTACTTTTTTAAAAAACAATTATATAAATATGTAAAATAAATAATACCTTTTTAACTAGATCATCGTATGTTTGATTTTTCTGTCGACTCAGATACATTTTCGAATCCAATGCTAGTGCAGTTAGGTACTGACTATTCTGAATATATTTTAGAGTATTTTATGCAGATTCAGCATTTTATTATTATTTGTATTAGTTTATTATTAGGAATATATTATATACATTATATTACCGTAAGTGGTTTTTTCTTGGGGGGGGGAGAGGGAGGCGCCAAAAAGGTATCTTGCCCCGGGTGCCAGTTATGCTTGCTACGCCACTGGCACACACTCTATTCTTCAGGTATCCCTAGAAAAAGAAGTCGAGTGGTGTGACGTCCGGAGAACGTTGTAGCCATGAAATTGGTCCAGCTTCACAGTCCAACGATCTGGGAAGTTTCATCAAGGAACACGTATGTAGGGGGCCTCATCCTGTCGGGAAAAAAAAAGTTTGGTTGCATTTCTTCTAATTGCGGTACCGAAAACAATCTCAGAATATCAAAGAAATTATCCAAATCAGTTGAGGGCTATGAGAAAAAGAGACCAATCACTGTTATGAGTTAGTCCGCACCAGACATTAACTTAACGCTAATTCGCTCAATTTGCTTTACAAAATGCGGGTTTTCTGAGACTCAGATCCTGAAGTTATATTCCATTAACTTCCTCTTAAACATGAAATGTTGCTTCATCGTTGAGTATGATTTACTAAAAACACTGATCATTATTACTGATGCTATTAAAAATGTCTACAGAAATTTCCATATGAACGACTCTAACGTTAGGTTTTATTCGTCGACAGATTTATACACTGCCAATTTCAACCGTTCATGAACAACTTGCAGAGATTTATATTTATTTTAAATAACCAATTTTATTTAATTTAAAGCTTTCCTGTAAGCTTTCATTCCCCTAATTGTCAATGCCAGAATATTTAAATTTGGTAGCGAGCATGAAGGAATGCAAATTATACCTTGTGAAGAAAGAACTGATAAACCGAGGTTCAGTAGGAAAATTAGAGAGAGTTAGGATATTGCCGTCACCTCTGTTGCGTGAGCTTGAACTCCCGGAGGTACTGCCGGTTTACGTGGCATAAATGAATTTACTTGCTGCCACTAGTTTCGACGCGGGTTTAAGAAATAGGAATATCTAAGCCCCGCAGCTTAATTCTACTACTTGTGCATACCTTCGAATTTTTAGTTTAGTGCTGTGATTTTAGTTACCGCCCAAGGGAGGAGTTCGACGCTAACACACTACGCCTAACTTTTTTTTGTCTGTAAACAAACAAATTCTGTTACCATTCCCAAAAATTAGAACAAACAAAAAATTCCTTGTGCTAAAAATTATATCGCTATAAATTATTTCCTGTTGCTTCGTATAATTACGTTGTAAAGTATCGTTTAATTTTCTAACCAGTTCTTTTAAGTTAAAATACCTTTCTTTTCAATTCTCATTTCATTTCCCTATGAGAATGCAAATTTCCAGCACACACGATGTTCAAATTAGGTAGAAGGAAGGAAGTATTTACAGGAGTTTACAAGTTTTTAGAGAGTGAAATCAAAGCGTGTTCTACCTGCCTGAAGGTCACATTGCTATCTTCGATTTTCTAGCAATCAGAATTCTACTGCGTTGAGTTATTCTTGCAATCATAATATAAATTACTAGGCTATGAAATTTATTCTTTTAGGAAGTCGCTGAATCAAAGCCCTCAAAAGCAGCTTCTTTCCCACTCTCTCTGTATCTTCGTTCCAGCCACTTCTTCAGTGACTTCAGCGTTAGAAAGCGTCTAATCTTTTCTTAGTCCAAAGGGACAATTTGCCCAGAAGGGCTATTAATTTCGTTTTGGCATTTTGCATTGATTCACTATAAATGGCAAATCACTTTTTAAATTGTTGCCACCAAATATTAGAGCCCTGTATTATAGTTAAAGGAAGTAAATAACGAAGAGTCTGCATAAATGTATGTGTGTTTCTCGCATTGTGATAAAACAACAGTACCTAGAGACATCAAATTTTGAATAACGAACTTCTCTACCCGAATATGGGCATGAACAAAATTGGAGTGTCGATAAATTCAAAGAAATTTATTTGACAATAAAAGATATACAACATTTGAAGAGAATTTTGGATGTTTTTTAACATCTGCCAGGAATTTTAAATTACACGCGTCCATGTTTTAATTTTGATTTTACTGTTTTCCACTTGATTTGTGTGTTATGCTTGATCATGTCCAAACAGCTGGAATCGAATTTGAAAGCTATTGCGTACGTGCAGCTAAGATGGCGTAGTTTTTTCGGCTATCATGGTAAAGTCTAGCACGCAATTTGTAATTGTAATACGCATCTTTTATAAACTATGTTTCTTATTTGTAATTAAATTTATTGTCAAGTGAGCACATAAAATTTCCTGAGTATGGAAAAATTCAATAGCGTATTCGGAGGATAATAAAAACAATTTTGTTTTAGTTACAATTTTGTTCATGATGGTTAAATGGCCCAAATTTTTAAGGAATGAGCTGAGGGCATGAAAAATTAAAATTTGTTTTTGAAAAAATATACAACAGTTCCTGAGAAGGCTTTATGGGCATCCTTAAAAGTTTCATATTTAATTGCGAAAATTAAAAACCTCGAAATTGGAGAATTGCTAATTCTTCCTTCAGCAATTAAAATGAAATCAATTATGCATGGAGAAAAATATAGTAATGGATTGAAAAACAATAGCATTATCAAGAGATAACATTTCTTGCCAAATTTCTGTCACATCACGCATCACTATAGAATACAAAATTCTGTCTTTGCGATACAACTAAATGAAACTACCGACATTACTAAAATGTCTCAATTCATTGTTTATCTAAGATAAATTTTTGAAGACGACGGAGTAGAATATTTTTTGTATTGTAAAATTTTTGAAGGAAAAACAACTGGAAAGAAAATATTTGAAATTAACAGATATTTTGAAACAAATAATCTTACTGGGACACATTGTGTTGCAGTTTGCACTGATGATGCTGCAGCATTAACAGATAATAATAGAAGACTAAGAGGGTTAATAATAAAAATTGCTCCCCATATAGTATTCAACCATTGTATTACACAGAGACTGGCTCTTGTTGCAAAAGACATTGATGAAGAATTGCACAAGATATTGCAGGGTTAAAATTTTAATTACAATAAAAGGCAAAAGCCTAAACAGTCGTCTCTTTTTAATACTCTGTAATTAGATAAAATCTGTGCATGAGGCATTATTACCGAAGTCAGTTGGCTCTCACACAGGAAAATACTGCGACATATTTTCGATCGAAGAAATATACATATTTTTGGAAGAAAAGAAACATACATCAGCAAGTTCATTCATTAAGAATGATTGGTTAGGAAAATTCAGTTACATGGTAGACATTTTCGAAAAACTTAACGATCTGAATTTATGTCTAGTCAGAAATTACAAACGTTTTATTACTGAGCATCAATACTGAAGCTTTTAAAACTAAGTTAATACTTTGGCAAGGAAAACTGAACAAAGGCGATAGAAACATGTTTTTCAGAATTTACTAAAGAAAATAATAAAGATTTCTTATTTAAAACAACATATGATAAAATTGACAGAAAACTTTTTGAAACATTTCCAAATAAAGAATTAAGTTGGATCCGTGACCCATTTTTCTTTGGTATTTTCAATGGTGTTACTTTGGTAGACGGTTGCACGGATTTTGGAGATTTGTTTTTGGCGAGCGATACCACTTATGGTAAACCCATTGCCAGACAAGTTATTTATGGTAACCGATACTTTGTTGTCATTTTATTTAAAAAATAATGCGTTTTATTATGCATAAATTCCGTGTTTTAAATATTATGTATATGGCTTCTAAATATTAAAAATCAATTTAATTTTGCATTTTTATTTGAAATAAAAATTTTATTGTTTATGATATTTTATGTAATTTTATGTTGTGGATGATGTAATGAATGACGTCACATTACTTTAAAAGTAATTGGCTTTAATATCTATAAATTTAATCTAATGTTTCAAACATTATTTATGGCTGTTAAATATTAAAATACAATGTAATTTTGCATTAAAAAAAGATATTATTATGTATGATTATTTAAGTAATTTTAATTCTATGCGTGATGTAATCAGCTCCCTGATTGGTTACAGAATATTTGTGCATTAACGAGCTGTACTCAGCTCCGTGATTGGTTACAGAATATTTGTGCATTAACGAGCTGTACTCAGCTCCGTGATTGGTTACTGAATATTTGTGCATTACCGCGCCATTTTGAAATTTTATTATTCATCTCTTCGAATTCCTTACATTTCATAGAAAACGGGTATGTCCCTTTCAAAGATTAATGTTGTTATTGTTAAGTACCAAGAATTATTGGTATCGGAATCAAAATTTGTCCTTTGAGACTTTATTTTGGCCAACCTGGTTTTCCTAATCAAAGATTTATTTATAAATTGCTACAAGGGTCAGAGGAAATTTATTTTAAATTTTTGAAGGACATCTCGTTAATTGCTTCTTCAATGAAGAGCAAGAAATGTGGATCACAGATGAAGATCGTTAAAAGAGCCGATTCTGAGGACGGCGTATATGGTATTGTGGTTCACGGTGGAAGAAATAACCGCTGTAACGGTAAAAAAAGTATTAAACATTCCTCCTTTTTTACCGGCAGTAAACTTCTAATTATTGTCATTTTAGCTCTAGTATACGAAGCGTTCTTATTTACTTATTTTAAAGTATTTGAATTTAAATAATATTTTAATTCTTTTAAACGTTGGTATGATGGTTTTTAATTCGATATTCAGTTTAAGTAATATTTTAATCCAATTAAACGTTGGCGCAATGTTTTATAGTGTTGTTTTTATTCTATTTCATTTCTATATGAAAGTAATAATTTAACTCTTAGTATTTTATCCTCGTAGTAAATGTATTTAATTACATTTGCCTGCCATCTTAAAAAACGTCGTTTTCAACAAAAATCTAATCCATTATTTTTAACAATATTTTAATAATTTTTTTTTTTTTTTTTTTTTTTTTTTTTTTTTTTAAGTTTCGAATGCTTTACTATGGGCAAAATACGTAAAAACAGTGTTTTTTAAGATAGCTGACGATTGTTAAAATCGCGCCAACAATTGTGCCAAAGTAAATCGTAAAAAATCCGTCCAGCCGTCTACCAAAGTAGCACCACTTTTTCATCTAACTGAAATCGAAATCGAGTCAATGGCTAGGCGGCAATTAGTAGCTAACCGCTACTTTAACCGTCTCTGTTGGTAAATTTCCCTTAGACGTTGGTATTTAAGTTTTTCCATTCCAGTGTACCCATAAATGAAAAAAGAACAACGAATTGATATTTCAAGCGACAATTTAACAATTTTTATTAATAATTGATATTTGACAATTTGACAATTATTGATTGATATTTGACAATTT